TTCTTGTTCAGTCTATCATTGATGGGCAATTTGGGTTGGTTCCAGGTCTTTGCTATTGTAAACAGTGCCACAATGAACACGTGTGCATGTGTCTTTATAATAGAATGATTTATAATCCTTTGGGTATATACCTAGTAATGGGATTCCTGGGTCAAATGGAATTTCTATTTCTAGGTCCTTGAGGAAGTGCCACACTGTCTTCCACAATGGTTGGACTAATTTACACTCCTACCAACAGTGTAAAAGTGTTCCTATTTCTCCACATCCTCTCCAGCATCTGTTATCTCCAGATATTTTAATGATCGCCATTCTAACTGGCATGAGGTGGTATCGCAATGTAGTTTTGATTTGCATTTCTCTAATACCCGGTGATGATGAGCATGTTTTCATATGTTTGTTGGCCTCATATATCATATATGTGTTCTTTTGAAAAGTATCTGTTCATATCCTTTGCCCANTTTTTTTTTTCTTGTAAATCTGTTTTAGTTCTTTGTAGATTCTGGATATTAGCCCTTTGTCAGATAGGTAGATTGCAAAAATTTTTCCCATTCTGTTGGTTGCCAGTTCACTCTAATGATTGTTTCTTTTGCTGTACAGAAGTTCTGGAGTTTAATTAGGTCCCATTTGTCTATTTTGGCTTTTGTTGCCTGTGCTTTTGGTGTTTTAGCCATGATGTCCTTGCCTATGCCTATGTCCTGAATGGTTTTGCCTAGGTTTTCTTCTAGGGTTTTTATGGTGTTAGGTCTTATGTTTAAGTCTTTAATCCATCTGGAGTTAATTTTAGTGTAAGGTGTCAGGAAGTGGTCCAGTTTGATACTGCCCAAAGTAATTTATACATTCAGTGCTATCCCCATCAACCTACCTATGACCGTCTTCACAGAACTGGAGAAAACCACCTTAAACTTCATATGGAACCAAAAGAGAGCCTGCATAGCCAAGACAATCCTAAGCAAAAAGAACAAAGCTGGAGGCATCATGCTACCTGACTTCAAACTATACTACAAGGCCACAGTAATCAAAACAGCATGGTACTGATACCAAAACAGAGATAGAGACCAATGGAACAGAACAGAGGCCTTAGAGGCAGTGCCACATATCTACGACCATCTGATCTTTGACAAACCTCACAAAAACAAGCAATGAGGAAAGGATTCCCTGTTAATAAATGGTGTTGGGATAACTGGCTGGCCATGTGCGGAAAATAGACAGATTTCTTTATGCCTTAAACCATTAAGTCTTCAGCGACTGCCAAAAGGTTCTTTGTATGTGTGGGCATATGTTTTTCTCTTTGGCAGGCAGGTTGCAACCATGCCTTAGTCACTTCTTGCTTGTACAGAGCCTCAATGTAAGCCATAGATGACGGTCTTCTCAGGCTTTTCCTGGGGCTGAGTTCTTAGTGGAAAAAGAAAACAAAACCCAGTGCATTGGTTACAGTTTGAATTACACATATGTCAAGTGATTACCAATAAAGTTTATGAACTCATCATCTCCTACATTTGCCATATTATTGTTAGCAGAATTATCTAAAACATGCTTCAGAAACTTAGAGGTTTGAAACTACAAAGGAATATGTATGCGTAAGATATGTATGACAAGCATAATCTAAGTGGTAGAAAAACACCCCAGAGGAAATCTTTCTTCTGATCTAGAACAGACCTTAGCCAGATGTGATCTAAGTTGATTTATTTGCCTGAGTAGTCAGCTAATCAGGGCTCTTAGTTTACCAGATCATGGATCAGAATGATTATAAGGTTACAAGCAGGGATTCTCAATACAAACTGCTTAGATTTGAATCTAGACTCTTCTACTTCTTTGACCTGGGCAAGACACCTAACATCTCTGTGTCTCACTTTTCTTATTTGTAAATAGCACCTTCCTGATTGTGATGATTCATTCAGTACATTATAAGCCCTTAGAGCAGTCTCTAACACATAATAAGCATTATTCTCACAGAAGTGGGGAGAGTAGTTTGAATCCCTTAACCCTATTGCCCCTCTTAAACAGTTATCAGCCCATGAACAATCACATTTCATCTGTAATACTTCCCTCACTAATTATCTCAATACAAATACAAACATTATATTATTTAATCTGTATTTTATTATATATCTCTAATTGACTGTTTTAAAAATTCTTAGTACTATACGATATTACTATTAATACAGGTAAAAAAATTAACACTGAGGCTTTGTTTTATCAAATACTCATTTGGCATATGTTTTCCAAGTTGATTCATGTGGTATAATTGGTTAATATATCTCTTAGGTTACTTTTAATATAGAAGTTTCCCCCTCTTTCCTTTACCACTTTGTAACTGTTTATTAAAGAAATCAAGTTATTGGTACTCTAGAGCTATGTTGTCCAATACAGAAGCCACTAGCCACATGTGACAACTGACCACCTGAAATGTGATTAGTCTGAATTGAGATGGGTTGTATATTTAAAATACAGACCAGACAACATGATAAGATAATGTAAATTATCTCACTAATAATTTTTATATTGATGAATGTTGAAATGATAACATTTTATCTATTTGGATTAAATAAACATTTTTAAAACTAATTTTACTTGTTTGTTTTTGTTTTTAATGTGGCTTCTAACAAATATAAAATCACTTATATGGCTTGCATTATATTTTTATTGGGCATCATTAATTTAGAATTTCACACAATATGGATTTTACTGATTACATCCCCATGGAATTATTTAACATGCCCTTCTGCCCCTGTACATATTGCCTTTAAATTGTTAGTTAGATCCTTGATCAGATTCATAGTTAGATTTGTTTGTTTGTTTTTGTTTTTTAAGTAGGATCTCACTTTGTCAACCTCCTGGGCTCAAGGGATCCTCCCACATCAGCCTCTCAAGTAGCTGGGACCACAGGCATGCACCACCACAGCCAGCTAACTTTATTTTATTTTTCGTAGAGAGGGGGTCTCTCTATGTTGCCTAGGCTGGTATTGAACTCCTGAGCTCAAATGACCGCCCTGTCTTGGCCTCCCAAAGTGCTGGGATTAAAGGCATAAACCACTGCACCTGGCTGAGATTTCGATTCTTTAAAATATTTTCAGCAATGATGTCATTTCATATTGCTGGTATATAACACCAGAAGATATATACTATCTAACTGAGGACTTTCTCTTATGTTAGCAGCTGGTGATTATTCTTTTTTTTTTTTTTTTAAGACAGAGTCTTGGTCTGTTGCCCAGGCTGGATTGCAGTGGTGCAATCTTGGCTCACTACAACTTCTACCTCCCTGGTCCCAGTTCAAGCAATTTTCCTACCTCAGCCTCCCAAGTAGATGGGATTACAGGCACGAGCCACCATGCTCAGCTAATTTTTGCATTTTGTAGTAGAGACGGGGTTTCACCGTGTTGGCCAGTCTGGTCGTGAACTCCTGACCTCATGATCCACCCACCTCAGCCTCCCAAAGTGCTGGGATTACAGGCGTGAGCCACTGCACCCAGCCTGCATTTCTTTCTTTTTTTTTTTTAATTTATAAAGAACAGAAATTTATTTTCTTATCGTTCAAGAGGGTAAGAAGCCCAAGATCATCAGGGTGCCCACAGGTTCAGTGTCTGGTAAAGGCCTGGTCTCTGCTTTCAAGATGGTGCCGTGAATGCTGCTTTCTCTGGAGGGAATGTTTTGTCTTATGTGGTGGAAGGCAGAAGGACTAAAGAGCCTAGTTAATTCCCTCCAGCCCTTTTATAAAGTTGCTTATCCCATTCTTGAGGGCTCCTCATGATTTAATCACCTCCTAAAGGCCTCATCGTTTAATACTGTTGCATATGGGATTTAAGGTTTGTTTGTTCGTTTGTTTGTTTGTTTTTTGAGATGCAGTCTCACTTTGTCACCCAGGCTGGAGTGCAGTGGTATGGTTTTGACTCACTGCAACCTCCACCTCCCAGTTTCAAGCATTTCTGTTGCTTCAGCCTCCCCTGTAGCTGGGGCTACCAGCCTGCATCTCTGTCTTCTTTCTCCCATGTCAAATGTATTAGTTCTCAATGACATCAGTATGCTAATTTGTTTTATCCAGCACTACACACACAACAGTTACATAATAGCATGTCTGTCACTGTAATTAATATGATCATTTACTGAAACATTTGGGGTTTGTTTTTATTTTTCAGTTATTTTTCTCAGGGTATATCTTGTGAATTTACCGAAAAATTACTGTTAAAGTCACTCAGAATAGTTCCTCTCTAATGAATGGGTATGCTGCCACCTGGTTTCATGTTACTCTTAATTATTTAGGGATTGGTTTTTTAAAGTTTTTATTTCATTTATAATATAAAGTTTTTACATGGTTCAAAAGTCAAATCTACAAAACAAATATTCAAAGGAGTCTAGCCTTCATTCCAGTTCTCTCTACTCCCTCTTTTTCCCAGTAGGTAACCATTAAAAATGTTTATGGCCTATTCTTCCGTTTTTTAATACATATTCATATCCTGACCAAAGAACTTCCCCAAAGTTCCTCGATTTATTTTTATTTTTCAAAAAGAAAGCTTATAGTATTCTATATTCACAATACAAATGATAAAATATATCTTTTAGTAAGCCATAGTCTATCGATTAGAACTGAAAGAAAATTGATATTTTAAATAAGCCAGGGTTGTAAGAAAGAAAGATGATTTGGGTGCAAACTGTTGGCTGTTACTAAACATTTTAAATACTTCCTAGGGAAGGAGGAAACCTTGTTATTTGCCTCCAGATACTATAGTAGAGACAATATTTATCATTTATAGGAATCCAGACTTGGTCTAAAAAGAAATCCTGCTATCAGATGAAGCCCTGAAGATGATATAGGCAGCATCCTATGGTTTCAAGTTCTTGTCACTGGAGAGATTTATACATTCTATAAAGGATGAACTGGTTGACCTACATAATCATTTGGTGATTCTGGTTTCTGGGGCTCTTCCCCAGTTTTTTTAATGTGTAATTCTGCCTAACAAGTCTAATTATATAGTCTCTGATTGATCACAATGTAATTGTTTTAGGAATCAGTGACATTTAAGGATGTGGCTATAGACTTCACATTGGAGGAGTGGAGGTTGATGGACCCTACACAGAGGAACCTGCATAAGGATGTAATGCTGGAGAATTACAGGAATCTGGTCTTCGTGGGTAAGGATAACTTCTCTTCTATGTTGATTGATCTGCCTATTTAACCAGGTTTGCCAAAGAGAAAGGACCTCTGAGGTATTTAACTGAAGTACTAGATCTTAGGGGCACATTGTTGTGTTATGCTCTTCCTCACTCTTAACTACATGATCTGCCCTTTGTAGACTAAGACACACGCATTTCACTGGAATCTTGGAGATTGTTGACAACCCCACAGATTTGGGACCAAAGTTTTTTCTAGTTACTTCCTTAAATGGAAGTTATCAGTACCTCTAGAAATAAGAAACAAATGTATTCAATTTCTTTCTAAACTCAGATTATTCCCATGATCTATTATCCCACCAAACCAGAATCATGGTGTTGAGCCCCTTTGAGATGTCCTTGTAATTGTCTAAAACATCACTGCACAATATGGCAGGTACTAGTCACTTGTGGCTTTTTAGCCCTTGAAATTTGGCTAGTTCATCTGAAGAACTGAATTTTAGATTTTACTTAATTTAAATTAATTTAAATTCAAATTTAAATAGCCATATGTGACAGTTGGCAACTGTATTGGACAGTGTGGCTCTAAAACTTCCTGTAATGGTCATTCTGCACAGAAGATTAAGAACTGAGACTGAATTTGGCAGTAGTTCTTGCTGATGGCTCCAATCAAATTATATTTATTTTTCTCTGGACAGGGCTTGCAGTTTCCAAACCAGACATGATATCTCATTTGGAGAATGGGAAAGGACCATGGGTGACGGTGAGAGAAATTTCAAGAATTCCCTATCCTGGTGAGTTAAACAGAACCAAGAAGATGGTATTTATTTCAAGTAACAGACCATGGGGGGGTGTTCAGTGGAACATCTGAAATAATTTTGGAGATACATTTGTTCATAGCTGTCTTAGAGGGAAAGACCCCCATCTCTCTTCCTGTCCCTCCCACGCCCATCTTCTCTCACCCTCTCTCTCTGTTCTCCACTTTTGGGAACCATCTCATCCTACTCTGCTTTACTGGGGACATGCTTTTCATAATTATTCTTTTATTCTTCATTCAAACATACATAAAATATCCCTTTCAGGTCTGTCTTCTCCAGTTAACTTTATGTTTCTCATTTGTTTCACCATTATCTGACATTTCTTCATTTACCTGAAAATGCTTTTATAAGGGTCCCCACTGATTTCTCTTAAAGCAAACTTATTTACTTATTATTTAGTTTTCTTCACCTGCAAGGCTGCAGAGACTTTGGAGGAACCCACCATCTCTCCTCCAGGTTCTTAACTAATTGAGAATACAAACAAGGAATCAGTTGATAATCAAAATATAGTATTGATGTATTTAATCAGTATTATACATCTATGTGCTGTAAACTCGGTTAGGTACTAGGGCTACAGCAGTGAATAAAATGGACCACGTCCCTGCCTTCGTGAAGATTAAATTTTGAGAAATAGATAACTGGCAAATAAACAAAAACAAACTAAACGGTGGTTGTAATACCTCCCAGCTTTGAGATAAGTCAGAGGGTAAGAAAGTAACTGGGGTGGGATGAAGACACCTGCTTCAAACAGGGTGGTCAGGGGAGCTTCTGAAGAGCTGACACTTAAGCTGAGACCTGAAGGGTCAGAAGAAGCAGGCAGTGAGAGGAAGAGGAAAAGAGAAGCATTCCAGGTTTAGGGAACAACAATGCAAAGGATCTGATACAGCAAAGAATGCCATGTGTTTCAGAAATCAAAAGGAAGCTGCTGTGACTAAAGTAAGGGGAAACTGGTAAAGAATAAGATTAGAGATGTAGGAGCTGGCCTGTGCAGGGCTTTGTAGATGATCTAAGTGACTTCCAAAGCATGGAGAGATTTTACTGCAGAATTTTTAGAAAATAACCCTGTTTATACAGATTGAACTTGAGGCATAAAGCAGGCGTTAAAATAATCTATGCAGGAGATGATAGTAACTTTGATTAGGGTGATGGTAGTGGAGATGGAAAGAAATAAATAGATTTTGGTTCATTTAAGCATTCATTTGATTATGATGCCATGAACAAGTCACACATGCATTATTTTGTATACTTTTATATCATAAAAATTACATATTTTTTATACATCAGCTATTATTTATATTTAAAAGAGTGAGTGAAAAGTAGATGTAAGAGATAGTTTTAGATAACTTTTTAGAGAGGGATTTTTCTTCCCCTATGAAGAGGGAAAGATAACTGGAGCAGTGGCTAAAGGAAATAATGGAGTCAAGAAAAAGCACTTGTTTTACTTTTGAGATGGGAGCTTCTGTGACATGTTTGAGTACTGCTAGGATTGCCCTAATGAAGAGAGAGTCATTGGTGTTGGAAGACAAGGATGAAGGACTAAAGTGTTTGATGGGGGCTAAAGGAGATAAAATCTAGAATGGAAAGGGCAGATTTACCCTTAATAGGTGGAGAGGTCACCTCCTGTTTGTAATACTGAGAAAGGTGAAGAAGATGGGTGCACCTGCAGGTCAATTGAGGGCAGGAAGATTGAAGCCACTATTATGATAGCTGCCGTATTATCTAAAATGTGAGGCAAGAGGGAAGAAAAAGTTGTAAGAGAGGGAAAGTTATTTTTTGTGCTACTGGAATTCACCAGGGAAGCCACCTTGGCCTGAAGCTTTTATTGAAAAAGTTGTTTAATTATAGCTTCTGTACCTTTTTTTTTTTTTTTTTT